TTATTAGAATAGATATAAAGCAAGCGAATGTATGTTAAAGTCTCAATATAACTGATCAAGACAAATAATTGATTTTATAAGCAATCAGAATCCAAAAAAATACATACGTACAAATAGAGGAATACGAAAATTTGAAAAACGGAAAATATCGACAAAAAGAAAAACTATAAGACAATATATGAAAAGACTCTACGACAATATATGAAAAGAAAATAAAATACGGTTCAATCACAATCAAATTTTTCTTTTGTTAATTTTACAAATAATCTACTGAACACAATAATTTTTGGGTGTAGGGGCTCTTGCAGCTTGTTTTCTTTTGTTGTTGGCATGAATTGCATAAACGAACATACTCATGGATGCTCATAAATATTTGGAGCCAAAATAATACCTTTTTATTTTTTAAAGAGCGTGGGTACATTTATGTACCCTGTAACGGTGTAATATTACCCGACCGCGGTTACCGAAAATGTGATCCAAGCCATATGACTTAGGACCCGAAATGCGCATTGATCGACAAAAGCGATGGCATTTAATAATGCTAATTCGGGTTTGGCTCAAGGCGATGCTCCATTGAGAACAATAGTAAGACGCCTCTGGTATTTAAACGGTGTGAACTAAAATCGTTAATCATAGAATTACCCCCTCGACACTCTAATTACAGATTAGTCATATTACGTAAAATTATAATCGTAGTAGCAAAGCCCCAATGTAATCAGTAATGTACTTAAACAAGTGTGTAGATAATAAATAAGAATCATAATTAATAAAGACCATCTAACCCGGTGTGGGAAACATCGGCTGATGCTACGCATCGCTGTTTCAGCTGATGACGGTGATAGGGATGTAATTTTGTGTAATTTTACGTATTTTTGCGTGAGTTTCGGTAAATTGATGTTTATGTAATTGTAATTTTGAACACATGACATTTATTTTCTGAGATCAAATATTCGGCGATTTTGGGGTTACAGTCTGGATCGTACATTTAAATTGTACTTTCAAATCAAATGATGCAATAATGCTTTCCGAAATTTTGTAAATCTGGTTTTTTATGTATAATGATGAAAATTAAATAAAATTTAATTTTCAGAAAATTACATGTAATATAAAATTGTAATACCAGGAACGGAGTGAAACGAAAAGTATGGCATACCCGTGGGAGAAATAGTGGTTCAAAATCTTACATTTTATTGGTCAGCGTGATCATAAATATCACATTGCCTCAAGTTTCACATGCAACAGCATCACAATGAATTTTAAATAGTGCCATCATGTTTAAACAGGTATTTAATTTCTTGCAGTTATTACTGTATTAGCCAGATACATCCAATTGATAACTCTGGTTCTCAACGTACAAAGATCATGGCAAATACACCAGAAGAATGGTTTGAAAAGGCCATTTCCGAAGGATACATTAATAATTTTGAATATAATAAATTTACAGATCCTACAATTATTGGCAGCGGAGGCTTCGGAAATGTTTTTAAATACGAATGGAAAGATTGTGGTTTAACAGTTGCTCTTAAATGTCTTAAAATCGATACCAATATAGGCTTAACCGAAAAAATTATTAAAGGTTTTATTAAAGAGGTATTTATTACACAACTAACGTAGTGCACTAACTAAAATACCCATTGTTCATACCCCCAGTTAAAATACCTGGGCATATTTTTTTAACCAGGATAATACCCGGATACAGTCAACTTCCTTTAAGTGCATGTTCTCTTTAAATGCAATAAAATAAGTACAAGTTCTTTATTCTGTAAGTGCAAGATTTCTTTTAGCCAATATATATTAAATTATTTTCTCTAATTGCAAGATAAATATTAATAATCAATTCAATTGATTTTATTTAATTACAAGGTTTTTTCTAGGTGCAAGTTATTTTTTTTTTAACTTATTAACTTGCATTTAGGGAGAATTCATTATATATTAAGTTAGTTTTTTTTTAATTACAATTCTTTCTAAATACATAATATTTTTTTGGCCATTGACTTGCACTTAGAGAGAGTTGACTGTATTTTGCACGGAATTTTCACACTACCACATCATGATTTTTGCATTACATTTATATACCAATTCAAAATACCTAATAAATATACTTGTCACGAACAAGATAACCACAACTATTTTGTAAGTTTTTGGCGGATATTTTGTATTAGATTCCGGGTCTTTTAATCAGTGCACTACGGTACTTGCATTATTGTCTGGCATAATACTAAATTTTTACAACTATGATATAAAAGCTAAAGCTATTACTAAGAGTTAGTAACCATCCTAATATTATTAAATTGTATGTTGTCACGAAAGGTAAATATGCAATTTACAAGTTTTGAATTTATATAAAATAATTATTAATAATATTAATTATTATTAAATAGATAGCAATGGATGTTATAATATGATTTTACAATATGCTAATGATGGGAATTTACGAGAATACCTAAAGACAAATTTCATGAGATTGCAATGGACGGATAAATTACGTATTGCTATGGAAATAGCATTTGGGCTTCTGTTTTTGCATAATAATGAGATTATTCATAGAGATCTTGTAAATATTATAGACTTTATTTGATTTTGAGGATTTTCTACTTATTTGATTCACTAATATATCCTTAATTTAGCATTCGAAAAATATTTTAACTCATAAAAATCAACCAAAAATTGCAGATTTTGGACTATCAAAGCAGATAAATGAAACATATATAACGTCAAACCCAATTGTTTATGGGATGCCGGCATATAATGCTTTATTAATCAAGGATATATACGTGACAAGAAATCTGACATTTATAGCTTTGGAGTAATCCTTTGGGAAATTTCTAGTGGAAAACCACCATTTCAATCCTTTAATTCTAGAGATTTGCTAGTTATTCAAATATTTCAGGGAAATAGGGAAGAGCTTGTAAAAGGTACACCACCTCAGTATATTGAACTATATAAACAATGTTGGGACAATAATCCTATTAATCGTCCAGAAACAAAATTGGTTTTCGATACTTTGAACCAATTTAATCCTAACGACACTTTGAGTCAACACCATCCCATTGGTGTATCAACTCAAAATAGCAATACTTCAACTGCACTTGGAAATTCACTCGATATTACGACTTCATCCCCACTTTATTTACCTGATCCAAACATTTTAACGCAAAACTTCACAACTGGTAATTTTTTTGATTTGTTTTAGCTTATTAATTTGTTGCTGTCTTACCTAATCACGATAATATTTCATCCTTCAGAAATATACCGTACAGCATCTAGTAATGATGTATCTCGTAATGCTGTATCTAGTAATGCTGAATCTAGTAATGCTGAATCTAATAATGCTGTATCTAATAGTGTTGTATCTAGTAATGCTATTATATCTAGTGACGAGTCTTTTAGTTTGAAAGTTCTCGAAAATGATAAATTTGAAAATTTTGCATATGCAAATGAAGCTAATGGAGCTGAAAAGGATGAGCATGAAGCATTTTCTGCTGATAAAATTGTGAGTCAATATGTTCCTATAGTTGGTACGGTGAAAATTTTAGTTGAAGCAATTTATAAAATTTATGAGAATGCGGAGTATAATAAAAAATTATGTACTATCATGATGTGGTA